TGGTGGGTCTTAGCAGTTGCTCCTTCCTACTCCTATCCGTGAGACCCATTGAGGGTGCTCAATTTGATTTGGTCCCTCTTGTCGGGCTTGAATGGCTTGAGTGTTATTGATGAATCAAGTAAATCAAGTGTATCATCCAAAAATATATGAATGTGCATTATCTACAAAGTGAGTTGATTCGAAATGAGTTGAGCATACTTCTTGAGTCTTACTTGGAGAAATTGGAGCTGGTTTGGGACGATTTATGAGAACTTGTACATTCACTCTCTTATGTATACCAAAGCTTTTATGGAATTGATTCAGGTTTGCCTTAGCCGTGAGCCTCACTTGTTGTTTCTTGGGTTTGTCTCAGCTGTGAGCCTCCCCTTAGTTACCCTCTTATTTTGGCCAAAAAAGCATAGAAGCCATTGGTGGTTCTTTTGGTTGCCTTAGCCGTGAGACCCTTTGTGCCCTGGGTTGCTGTAGCCGTGGGCCTTACTTGTGCCTTGGGTTGCCTCTGGTCGTGGGCTTTAGCAGCTGCTCTTTGTTGCCTTAAACCGTGAGCTTTAACAGTTCTTTTCTGGGCCCTTTGTTGCCTTAACCGTAAGCTTTACTTGTTGTCTCTTGGGCTGCCTTTGGTTATGGGTCTTGGCAGCTGTCCCTTGCTTTAGTCGTGAACCTCTTTTGTCCCCGTTCCTTGCCTTGGCCGAGAGCCTTGGTGGCTGCTTCCTCCTCTCTATTGACCCTGGCCGTGAGCGTTTATATGGCTTTATGGGAAGATTTCGTGCTTATTTAATGTATGAGGCTATCTATTAATCTGAAAGTTGGGGAATTTTGATTTTGGTATGACTTTGGAAATATCGGTGGTGGTTTCCCCGATGTGACTTTCTTTTGAAGTTTGAGAGATTTTAAACCTCATTTTGGAAAAGCATTTGGTGGATTTGATCAATCCTATGTCTTTGGGGTTTGGGAAAATTAGCGCGAACTTGCTCTTTATGTTTGTTAAAAAAAAAAAAAAAAAAACTTGGGCCATACTTTTCCAGGTCTTTTCGATACGAATTTTGAGAATTGATCCAACCTCCTTTTCGGTGTTTTAGATGGATTGGTGTCTCCTTTCTCTCACCCCATTTTTGTTCTTTTTTTTCCTTGCTTCTTTGTTCGGTTTTCGATGTTTATGTCCGATGCATAAGTGTCCACGAATAGTCTTTTGCTATACGTGAAACCATCAAGCAAGGTCGCAAGTAGTCGTTTTGGGGTGTACGGTGTTGATGATAAAGGCACACCGAAGATAGAGCAGAAAAATGTCATATCCTATAACATCAAGATCCAGACATTTGATGAATAATAGGATTTGGTATCCTTCCCCGACATAAGGCTAGCGGGAGTTAGCTCGAACCTTTTCAGGTGATTGGTAGTCTCATGCCCGACAGTGTAATTGACTCGTGGACAACGAAAATTTCTAAAAAATAAATAAATATAAGTTTTGATAAACCCTTTTCAAGCAAAAAACATATTTTTTCCACGAGACAAAATTGATAACTCCTCTTTGCATGTTTAAAATTTGTATGCATGTTAAAAAAACACAAGACACACTTTAAAGTTGGTTGTCCATCTGACGAATACATGTTTAGGCTGAAAAATAACCCTCTAAGTGAGGTTCAAGACACCCTTCTAGACGAGTGGCGGGTTCTATACATTCGAGTGACCGAGTAGTCTTCGTGGACCCTCGAGAATAATATATAGCTGAGCCTAGTCCCATACAAGTGCTTGCGGTCCCCCTCACCCGATTTTTTTTTGTTTTGTTTTATCAAAGCTTTGGGACAGGACACTCGTGTTACTTTTCCTTTCTTTCAGGATTTCTCCAGGAGTTTGAAGATTTTCTTTTACTTGAGTCTCTTCTCGTTGATTTTCTCGAGTTTTCTGCTCTTCCTCGGATTTCCTGGACAACGTTTCTTCCAGACTTTGCTTTCGAGATGCATTTAGGCTTGCTATACTTAAGGAACATCGGATCTCACGGGCGTACAGGTTTGCTTAACATTTTTTCAGTACTTTATTTTTCTGTTCTTGCCTGCTACTGTACTGTACAGCATGTCATATTATTCATGTTTTCTATCTGCTACTGCTCTTCCTATACAGCATGTTATATCATTTATGTTCTTATGTTCCTACCTGCTACCGTATATTGTACTGTATAGCATGTTATGTTATTCGAGTTTCTACTTGCTATTGTTCTTCCTGTATAGCACGTTATACTGTTCCTATTTCTACTTGTTATTGTTCCACATGCATTCTCCTGTTTGTTCCTGCATTACACATTTTATATTATATAGCTTTAAGCATGTCTTTATTATATAGCTTCAAGCATGTTTCCTTTCTATATAGAATGTTTAGAAGACTACAATCATGTGGCCGTTTGATTTGACACTATAACTGGACACCCTAGAAAACTTAAATTCGACTGGCGGGGTGCTTGGAGCTAGCATCTTCAACAGCAGAACATGTCTTCCCCAGCAAAATCATTCCTTTTCCAAGAAATTAAACAACAATCCATAAGATTTTAAGGTTGTTTGCCTAGCGCAACATAAATCCTCCACCTTTTCTTTAAGCATTCGTATAGCTCTGTTGTACGATTTAAGCCCTAACTCGTTCTAGGTTCCGAGGTTGTCGTCCGATACGACGTAAAACCTCATATCTTCTAGGCAATTTGTGTGACCCTATCACGCAAATATAAGCCCTAATTAAATAAAATTGCAGGATGAAACACTTTAATAATTTCTTCTCAAAATTGGAGCCAAATTATAGGATAGACTGGGAATCTACTGAGGTTCGCCTCAGGATCTGTGGCTTCCCCTAGTTTCTCTTCATTTGGATTCCTTAACAATGTTCCAGATTTTCACACCTCTTCGTCCGATTTCGTTAAAAAGTCATATCCTTCTGACTTCTTTGAAGATAATATTCCCTGATTTTTATTGAGAGTTTTCTTAGATGACTTTGGTCATTTAAGATGTAATTAACTATAGGGGTTTGCTCTTATAGGAAGTTTCTCCGAACCCAGCCTAAAATAAATCCTATTTAATTTTTTGTATTAAATAGGGGAACTTGTCGGCAAATAAAACGGTTTCGCAGATTAAACGGATGTCATATATTTTCTTAGTTTATTTGATCGAGTCTCATCCTCAAGTCTTGTGTTTATCCCTCGGGATAGATACATGATTTGAGGTAGGGCGTTCTTTCATTTAAACTGTGAAAAATATGAGGTCAGTTTGATTTCATATTTTTCCAAAATTATATATATATACGTAAATTAAAAAGTCCTTCCGAAGCGGGCGACGGGATTACTTTCCCCCCCCCCCCTTTTTTTAAGCGCCGACATGTGACTGCAACATTAATACATTGAATCCCTTTCTAGAACAACATTTGGGTCCAAGGTATGAAAGGGCCCCGTAACCTAACTATTTATCTATCATTCCTGC